TTTATAAAAGCAAAGAAAAATCTAGAACAAGGAATTAAATAAATAATTAGGTATATGCATACTATAATATTTATACATAGTAATTATAAAATATTTAGTATTTTGTACGAGGGTAAGGGTCCGATGGTGACCTCGATTCAACCCCTATGACCTCGCGGTACCAGGACACCATGAGACGTGTAATACAATTACACACAATACCACTCACGAGCTAAGCAATAGGTAAATTGTAGCGATGTACTCTGATCACGGTTATCCTTCGATACAGAGAAAAGAGAACCAAGTTTGAGTTTCTAGGTATTACTATAAAAATAGCTTCTATGAAAAAAGTTTTCAAAAATTGGTGTTAAGTTCGATTATTTATAATCATTACTACGATAATGACACATTAAATAATATTTTTTTATTATTTGTTTATTTTATAATACCAACACAATAAAATCAAATTCAACATTTAAAAATTGCTACGTGACAATTTTACGGAACGTAACAATTCCTAAGCAACAAAGCGGCAATGCAAGGGCTCTCGGTTGATTTAATCAGAGCTCCTGACAGCCATGGGGCCCTGGTACCGAGGGTGCCATGGGGGCGGATGACCCAGTTTCCAGTGAGGGTGCCCATCCAGGCCTACCCCCATCGATCCATGGCGTTCACATGCCACGTAACAATAAACCCCATGATTTATACAGAAACATATTTCAGTAATAATATTATGCTACTGCTTTTACGGAATTAAATTTTGATTTATATGACAAAAAATATGTTTATATCTTCGCCTTATACTGGCTTAGGCAAAATATGAAAATGTTTATAATGTATTTCCTAACATGTGTTCTTCTTTGTGTTTTTAAGATGTTAATTTTGCATAGCTTAACTCATAAAAAATAATGACTTGCGTCTTCGTTGAAATCTGACTTTCAATAGTCGATTTTTTTAAGGTGCAATTCGATTAGTATTGTGTTATATAAAATAGTCAGTTTGTCATTAAATGACCATAATCAGTCATTTTTAATTTAAATAAGTTTCTTAATAACAAACATAACGTTACACATTGTTATGTTTGAATCACGTGTACGTGACAGATGCACGGTGAGTGTTCAATCAGGCGGCAGATGGCGTTGAAGACGTCGGTCCCACAGCCGCAGGTATAATCCTAGACACCGCTTTAAGGAACCGACAGTTAATGTTACGTTAACCAAAAATTACATAGTAAAAACAGGATGCAGTGATTTCCTTTACTAAAAACTTCTAGAAATAATAGTTAATATAGTGGTAATAGCTTAGATTCCTTGCTGACGTAAGACCGTTTTTAGGTTATAAAATTGTCATGGCATAGGTGCGAAAATGACAACAAACAACACATCTTCGCTCCAACTGGAATTCGTATCAACAACCCACTAACTACACACGTTGCACTATCCAATAAGCTATGAACTTTCAGTTTATGACACAATTTAATGCTTCTTTCCATTTCTACAGATGTTGAAAGTTATATGAAGCCCTAAATTCAATTTACTTATTATTTCATTTTAGCTTGACCCATACTGTTAATTATTAAGTACAAAGGAAAAATAAATTAAATTTTCAACGTAGCAAATATGAAAGTGTTATAAGAAAGGTTTAAATAACATGGTATTCTTATTTCGTTTAACAAAAGTCCGATGCAAACGTCAGCTGCAACGCCATCTTGCGTCGTAAAAAATAGGCCAATAACATCGCTGGCGAAAAAAAAGTCGAAGAAAAGTAAAGATGGCGGCAGGTGTTCTGTCAGCTGCTCGCGCGCACCTTTATATTTAATTGAACCGCGCGCCATTACTTATTTTGTTCGTTTGAGTTAAAGACATTGACCGTTTGTAAGTTATTCAACTACTAACTGTCACTAACCGACAAAATATGTCAGTTGTTATTACAATATTAAACTTAATTTAAGGGATTGCTAAATTTTACTTATAGATTGTTAAGAATTATTTAGTCTATTAATTATGTTATTAACTATGGGTTTTTGAGGCCAAAATCTTTTTTCAAAACATGTCTGTTTTGTCAAAGATAATGACTGGGATTACGATATGTTTTATACATATTTTTGTCTCAAGTTAATAGTATTATTTACTATCTCTTTTGCATCCTTTCAAAAAGCTCGAAACAAAAGCATTATACGTATGTAAGAAAATGATTGGTACCGCCACAATACACAATATTATAATCTATATCTTTTAATAGTGATTTTCTGTGAGTGCATAATGCAGTGTGTATACGCAGGTGTCGAGCGACCCGCCACTTCTTCGGCGACGCACGTGTGCGTCCATCTGCCCACGTCATTACTTTTACCTGCTAAACCACTGCTGCCATCTGTTCGCCTGGTAAATTAAAAAATAATACCTTTCCTGTGTTTTATTAAGTAATCTTAATTAATTATTATATATTATAAATGCAAAAGTTTGGATAGATAGACGTATATTTTTATTTTCAAGGAACTCTAGAATTGCTAACTGCTAAACGGATATAGATGATAGCACGGGTTGCTCTTTTTTTTAATCCGTCATGCGTGGAGTCGCGGGCGACAGTAACAGAATAACACATTTGAGTAGAAATTGATTAGTTTGTTCTGTTCTGTACTTATTAGTTTAAAATAAAATTCTTGTATTTATTTTCTGTCGTACTACTTTAATGTCGAACTATAATTACAAGTTGGACATTCAATTGACAAGTGACCGCGCAGATGGTCAAGTATCGATAAAAATGTTGTTTCCACCTTGCAAAGTGAGTGACCATGCGAGGTAGCTGACCCAAACAGAATGTAAGCATCTAGGGTTCATCGGTGGTTTGTGGAATCTCCTATTTCTAGTTTGGTTACTGTCCTATTATAAGAATCATGTTTGTTTTGGTCAGATAGTTATTTTAATTATTTCATTTTAAAAAATTAAGAGAACGACATTATTCTCGATAAGCATATAGCCCTCTAGCGGCCAAACATAGCAACTTTGGATTTAAAAACTTTCGTTGAATAAAAACTTTAGAGGTGAACTTTCAATAAAAATACAAAAACGTTGTTATTTTTTTATTATTATTTAGGTAAAATTATGTACATACATACAATCAACTAAAAGCACGCTCATATATACATAAATGTTAAAAATAATTTATTTTTTTAAATTTAAAACGACTTAATTTGGTATACATCAGAACGCGGAAAAGATTATTTGGTTAATAATTATTTTAAATATATGAAAGTGTGGAAGAAAGTAAAATTTTTAAATATAATGTCAAGTTATAAATATTTAAAGTTTATTAAATTTAAAAATTAACATCTATATGTTTCGATTTTAGCGAGGTATGAGATATGACATTTTATTTATGTAAAAAATATGCCTATTTTTTCTAGTTAATGCAAACATCATATATATAATCATTAAATATTATATTAATCTATTTAAAGCCTAATAACTTTATCAATATACAATATCTTAACCTCAATATTAACAATTTAACAATGACGTCACCAACTTTGTTTTCTATATTTTTATCTATTTTATATAAATACAATTAATGTCTAGCAATGAACAAGGCACTAATGCATTTAATATAATTTCAAATATGTCTACAACAGGGGTAGGCAACCTATAACTTCAAAATAAAAAAAAAATAAAAAAATGTAGTCTTCAAGATAAATAAATAAAATCGAATATATGAAAATCTTTTAATTTATTCCCTTTTAATTCTCTGTGACATTTTCAATCTCTATTCATCTTTGACTCATCAATATAAATCAATTCAACTGTATGGTAATTTTTCATTTTGATCATGGTTATAAAAGGTTGCTTACCCCTGGATCCATGTGTGTAATCTGGTACAAAAACTTTCGTCTACATTCAACTAGGAACAAGATGAACTAATACTTTTGTTTTTCATCTTTGTCTTCTATAAGCATAGTGTGGTGTTATTTGATAATTTATAAAAATTTTAAAGCTCCTAAAACCTATCTAAGTGACTGGCTTCACTGTAACATTGCTTTTTTTTATAATAAAATATTAACAGATTTTTTTGTAAATTTACTAATATTTCTTTAACCATTCCAAATAAGCTCTAAGCTTGTGCTAATATATGGTTTACGACAATAGCCGAATGGCGGGATTCGAACCCCCGACCTCGTGGTCGGAAATCCGTACCCTTAACCATTAGGCTATTGACGCTTTAGTTATTCTATTGAAATATGTTTTATTTCTGTCTACCCTCCTACATTATGTTAGGATTCTGGTCAAATAAAACCTATGAAGGCTTTAATAATGCTAATTTCTCAGTAATTTTTGTTGAAATCATAAAGAATAATTAGCCAAGTTCCAATGGATTGTAAATTAAATCCAAATAATCTTTGGCATAAATAAATTTAGTCATAAGATTACTTCTTTATTTAAATTCAAATATCTATTCCCGAGCAAAATTAATAATTAGAAGACATAAATTGCAACATTTTTATGTATTGTAAACAATTGTATGGATGAATGAAGAAAATTGTATTAATACAGAAACACTGAATGTATGGTGTATCGTAGTCTAATTTTATTATAAGAATTTTAATAATTTACGTTGAAAATGTTATTAAATAGTACTAAATATTTGAAATTCTAAATATATTACAACAAATATGAGTTAAATATAAAGCTCCTTTGAATTACGTGAACCAGTCAATAGTTTCATATCATGTTATCTTGTCAAATTCTCACTAATATTATTTGCAATATATATAATACAAGTGTAAATGTGAAGAAATAAAATAGTACATTTCTTTCAAAATTTAATATTTTTTTTCAACTTAATCTATACTCAAGTAAATTTATTATATCTTGAGCTATAACAAGTGCGGCACAATAATTATTTGACTTAGAAAATAACCTGCAACATCACAGATAAAAGTGCTTCCGGAGATATAGAAAAAAAAAATGTACAGACACTGAATTATAAAAAAAATATGCAAAAACACAATCCATTATAAATAATAATGACAAAAAAAAATAATAAATGTCTTAATAAAACAAAACATTTTTTTTTAATTCACTGTGTATTTGCACCCACATAACAAATTACACAAACTATGTTCTCTGTTAGTAAAAGAAAAAAAAAACTATTTAAAATATAAGACAAGGTGATTTGAAAGGTTTGACATATAAAGTAACATTTTTCATATTTAACTTTCAATTCAAACTTTGTAGGTGCATATAATAATATTAATTTAGCTAAACTATGCCTGAATATAACAGTCATATTAACCCCCTTATAGACTTTAGGCAGGAAACTTCATTGCTTTATAAAAGTAGCCATTCCATATTGTGGCTTCTATCAAACATCGGCAACTGTCCAACAACTTAGCAATATGTATACAAAAATATATCAAAGTAAGTTATATGAACTTATTTGATGTATTTACTAACATTTGAATTAACATACAAGCACACAAGTACTGTCGTCTTTGCATATATATTCTGAACTCTATTTCTATTTACATAAACATTGGAGAGAAAAAAAAATTACCTGCATATCTCAGCACTGGATAATAAACCGAGGCACAATATAAACAGTCCATTAATAATTTATACAAAACACCAAAATCACAAACTGAAATGTGTTCTATTGATAAATAAATCACTTCGAGCATCAACTGTTTGTACACAATTCACTTTGTACACTCCATACATTGCCCGGAATGTTCTAGTCATAGTCAATATCCATATTGTATTGGCGCTCGCCTCGGTCATTGCTGGAGTTGAGGGAGGTGGTGGAATTACTGCCTGTTGAGTTGGAAGTTGAGCGTTGCGGGGCCCAAACACCGCCTGTCGTGACAGACGACGTCGTGGATGTAGACCCCGAGGTGCTGCTTGAGTCTGCAAGCGAATCCCATGTCTGTGTCTGTGGTCCAGTTGATTGCGGTCGTCTTGTTAACCTCCTTAGTATCACGCGTGGCAGTGACGCTGAAATAAGAACACACAAATTAATAGAGTAAGAATAGTTATTTTATCTCACATTGGAATATCCTTTAAATTGCTAGCACCATTATGCCGTTCAATATTTTTTCTTTACTATATTTGTTTCAGTATAATCAATAAGACCTTAATCTGTAAGGATAAGAGTACTTGGGTTGAATATTACGGCTTAGTGCCTAGCTCGAATATTTGTGAGAACGTTTTCGTAACATCATCGTAAAGTTTCGTATCGTAAACAATCATCGTAAAGTAATATTTTGTAGATGACGTTACGATGGCGCGTGTTACAAATATTCTTACTTTGCCCCCGTAATTCAGATTAAACACCAGATTGCTGTCGACATTAGGAATGTAAGTACTAGGTGCACATAACTTACTCGGTGTGTATAGGTGACGTCGTGTGGTGACTGTGGGTTGCGGGTTGGATTCGCCGGGCGGCGGCTGCACGAGCAGAGAGCGCCGGCAGATAGGGCAGGTGGCGTGGAGCTGCAGCCACGGCCGGATACACGTCGAATGGTACATGTGCAGGCACTCCAGGCGTGATACCGACTCGCCTGCAAATAGGTAACATACTATTATTGAGCAAGTAGTCCATTCCACCACCACAATACAATGTTCTACTTCTAAAGAACTTGTACAATGTAAACTGAAGACAGGCTTGAAGTGTAAGTAAGTAAGTTTGTCTGATGAGCGTCTCATTCCACCTTTGACAAAAGAGGAAATACTCTTTCTGTGCGATCCATCCCGATCAGTTAAAGGAAGTCAATATTTCTCTAACTGCGGATGTCTCGCTCTTCGTACTAGGAGTAAATAAGATCATAAATAACAACCTTCTAGAAAGTTCTCCCAACAGATAGAGCAGGTGGTATTCTCCGCGGCCTGTTCTGCTGTGATGGTCTCAGTGGGCAGCGCCGCCAGCTGATCGCCTGGTAGCGGCGGTGGACCAGAGGTGTCTAGCTGCCCCAGCATTTGCGTTATAACTGCATCTAGACCTATAAAATATGTATTTAATATGCTTATGTCCTTTATTCTAGCATTATAAATATATTTCAATACCAGAGATTCACTAGTAAACATTTTGAATTTCATATTATTTCAGTATTTTATGGTTTTGTATTAAAGAATAAAACTAAAATGGTTATATTACCTTCTCCTCCTAACACATAATCGCCAGGAGCTCCAACAAATACTAGAGGTGCTCCCGCTGTCACCACACCAGTCCGAGGTCGACCATTTTCCAGCAGCATTATCAACTCTTGTACAAACTCTGGGCCTGGAACTGGAGTCCTGGTACAAAGAAAATCATTATTAACATATGTACATAAATATTAAACATAGTGGATGGTTGTTTCAGTACCTGTACTGAGACAAGGTGTGTAAAATCAGCTCGCTCCCTCTATCATAATATTTCCTGGCTAATAAATCCAATCAAATTCAAAAGCCAGTAAAAACAATAAATCTCTCAATGTTAATTCTATTACCAGGGATAAACAACTCCAAATGCCTTGGAACCTGCATAATAATAAATTATGTCTTAATAATATACTCCCAAGAGTTAGCTTTTCCGTCCATGTATTACTAACAAATACTCCCAAAGCAACTAAAATTCTTTTTATTATATTCTTTATATAGTTCAGATATTCCATTCAATATAACAATAATTTTAATTAACATTATTTTATCAAACCTCGAAAAATAGAACAATAATAAAATTTAAAAAAATGATTTCAAATCTCACCGTAGTCCTGCCGCTGCCATGAATGACGCCATATCGTTAAAAATTGGAGTTACACCCTGTGGAGACAATTATAAATGAGTGATATCTGCTTCTTTGATTAACTTATTTTTACCAAATACACTGAATAGCCAGAATTGACATCAATAATAAAAAAAATTGGTCATCAAATTATTCATTTTAACACTGATTATTTTAAGATTATTAAAAAACGTAATTTTTTTTATCGATTAATTTCGTTTTTGATAGTGATGGAAAGATCAGATCACAGAAAAGGTAATATAACCTTTTCCTCCTTAAAACTTTTAAGACAATGTTTTCATTTTATTCATAATGTATTTCAACAAAACATTTTGTTGACATATGCAATAGATAACATTATCATTGATGTCATAGCCACAACTTTCGTACACAGATAAAGAAAACGAAAATAATATTATATTTGCATGTGATTTATGCATAAAAGAATTTGAAAGATAGTTGACTGGTTATTGTTTTTTACTATATGCACACTAACTCAACAGGAAAACCAAGTTTTGATTTAACTATAGATTACTGCTTAATATTAACTATATAGAACACAATGCTAGATGTAATGGGGCGTAAAGAGATGTAGAGGGTTGGCACTGTGTTTATGTGGAGATGACCACCAAGGTATTAAAAAATTCATATCCCACCAAAATTATTAGATATTTTATACTTATTAGTAGTAGGTGATTATAGTTTCCTTCACATTCGAATTTAACCGATAAAAAGAGTTAGTTTTATAAGTTTTGTAACATTTGAAACTTTTCTTCAGCTTGACCATTTTTACATGAAGGTAGGATATGATCACACCAATACAGTTTTTATCTGTTTTATCTCTTTATACTTACTGGTCGACTTTGATCTGAGCCCACTTCAATATCCTCCATGCCACTCATGTCTCCAATATTACTCATGTCAGCATCAGTGAAGTCATCTCCAGACTGATCCTGTGCCTCTGTACTACCCTCCAATTGCTCCACAAAACCCCCATTACAAAATGGACAAGAGTAATTCTGAAATACATACATATGAAAAAAAAATATTTATACAATTATAATAATAACCATTAACATTTTTTATTTTTAAATGATCTTGCAGAAGAGTCGGTGGAACTATATGACTTACTAGTGACTCCATTCAGTATCATTTAAGACGTAATTACAAAGATTAATGTGAAACTGATAAAATTATATGCATAGTGAAATTTTCGTATGCAAAGAATGTACTCGATCAATTCATAATTACCATAGGCCTTTTTCATACCATTATAAACATATCAATGATAAGTATTTCACCACAACCTGTCATTTTTCCCCAAAAATTAACAGATGGTAAACTCGATTGGATAGTCCTTGAAACTAATATTTAACACATCCTGCCATTTAAGAAATATAAAACCCCTCGTCGTTACTAGTTTTTAATAATAACACTAATATATTTATTGATTTTTACCTGTAAAACTTGATTGAATTCAACGTTACATCTGTGGCAGAAGAATCGAGGCACATTTCTCCGCTCAACATCTGCGTCAGCCATTGTTGATATTGACGTAATTATAAAATCTAATATTCCACACGATTAAAATGTTCCTAGCAATTGTGCTTTCAAGCAATGAACAGAAATTTATCATTCGCCATTTTTTGAGATATGCACAATCCAGTCCATAGAGTATATAATCACATTTTTACATGAGAGAACAATATGTATTCGGAAAGATAATACTGAAGTACGTAATTACTGGAACAGACCTTGAAAATGTATTCTTAAATATATTTATTGGACAGTGAATATATAATTTTAAATAAAATATAACATCACACATATAAGAAACGTAATTTGTATTTTCCTTTCAATCAAGCCCTCCGAAAAGTGTTATTCTCTCGTTGGTCAGACTTAAATGAAATATTTTTACTCTTTGATTTTGCGATACAAAAATGCGAAAATAAATAATGCTAGCAACATTATTTGTGTCTGTCGTTGCATCGGATCATGTAAAATTGTAAAATTCTATTTTGTCTAATATTTTGTGCTACTTTAAGGGATGTGCTTATTGATGATCAAATAATATATTTATCATCGTTAATAATGTTCCGCTTAAGCTAAAGTTTACACTACAGCAGTGGAATTATGTGAAAAAGAAAGTGTTACCTATCAGTGCAGTGTTTGTGGACTAGCTGTTATCAATTTTATATAAAAATATTTTTAATCATGATAAGTACGGTTGATATTTTAAAATATATCCAAAGTATTCAATTTCTCTGAGCTCACTCTTTGCTCCTTCCGTGGAATAAGGTGTGGAAGAGGTAAACTGGGTCATTAAAGTGCACACTATCATTTCATATTGATTACAATGAATGAGAAAAAGTTATTCCATAATTTTAAGAGCTATATAAACGATTCGCCTTTGGTAAGTTGTTTGTCTTAATTTATTTAATATTTAATGATAATGCTATTGTTTATTTTATTTTAAAAATAATTTTATATTATTGCAGAATAATGGTGATAAAAATGGGTCCATACAAGAGTTAAAACCTAAGTTGTTAAATGGTAAGTGTTATTATATTTATAAATTCGGTAATTGCATTTTAACAACCTTACAATGATAAAATAATATTCTACTTCCACAATTACTTATTTAACCCATATTTTATAAGATCAAAATATTTTTGAAGACATTCTTCTTTTATCCTTATCTCATCTGCCAGTATTCAGAGTTCAGCATTGATTAATTACCGATCCATAATGTATAGTCATATTATTTTCATCAATAAGTGTAGTGCAAGTGCATAATATTTTTATTACTCATTTGTATTAGAACCCTGACAGTAATCTTTTACACTTCAGTTCTCATTAAAGTATAAATTTATCTATATAAATAAAAATCAATGTTTGTATGATTCATATAGAATCCTTAACCTTAACTTTGGAACAATGTTCCAATGCCATGCAATGTCGGAGAAAATACAATAAAACTCTAAAAATTGCATTATTTTTACAAGTTAGTTTTTACTAATATTATAAATGCCAAATGGATGGATGGATGTTTGTTAGAAGGTATCTTCAGAACTGCTGTGTAGATGTGTGTGTGAACTGTGTGAAAAATACATAGACTATTATTTTTTTTATTTAGACAGAGTTGTGGTTGACAGCTAGTCTTTTGTAAAACTTTTTGCTTGTACTATACTTTGTAACATTTTTGACATAAAAAGGAAATAAACTGTTAAAAGAACATTATTATAATGAGAACATAAGATATTTATAGATGCAGTTAAAATAAAAATAAAAACAAATTAATTTCCTGATTACTTTATCTCAAACAATTCTTTATAACAAACAAGTCAATTATTTATTTTATTTGCATAAATAATCTTTACAATTGATTAAACATAACAAATAGATGCTCTAGTCATTCTTTATGAGAAAGGTTTTTTTTTTAAATTAAGTTATAGATTCCAAAATTAACACACCCAATTGGACCTTTCACAGATCTTTGTACCAAAACTTGAAAGAAAAAAAAGAAAAAAATACATTACTTGTTTTTTTGGTTACTTTGGTTTAGATAATTTATGAAATGTTTATAACTAAGAAAGCATTGTATAGGCATATTTTATGTACTCCTAGTCAACTGACACATCAATGATGTAAATCACAATAATAACTCGATTGCGCATGCGCCACGCGCGCCTAACTGTAGCTCTGCTTATGTATGCTGTCCTGGTACATTTTGTAACAAATATTAATTTTTGATACTATCCCAAACATAATATAGTACTTATATCGTTTGTCATAAGGTTGAAGTTGCAGTAAATTTTATAACATACAATAACAAACAAAAACTGTCAGTCTGTATGTTATGGCCTCGCGTGTTTATGGTGGTAGGAAATGATGACCCAGTAGGGATTTGCTACAGTCGATTGGTTAGTGTGATCGGATTGCTTAGGCGAGGTTAGTTTTTTTTTAATTGCTATACAATGAAATAAAACCTCGTTTAGTATGAATCACTTTCTATAGGAAGGCCAAGTTATGAGACGATCAATGTAAATTTAATACAAATACGATAGAAGGTAGAAATGTTGGTAATTAATAACCTAGACTAATTGAAGTCATCATCATAATTTATTTAAACTTATTCGAAAAAGTGCGTAAATATGGCGTCCTATATTGCATTTATATTATGCAAAAATTCTCGTTAAAAATTTTATTGATGCAAGCAGTTAGCGACATTTTGTTAAATTGCCTAATATCTTAAACTCAAACACATTTTCCTTATGCGTAATTATGTAAGCAAAGATAGGAATTCCAGACATCGGCTTAGTAGGTGATTCCCCGCGGGTATTTATAGTGCTTTGACCCCAGCAAATACACTCTAGGGCTTCCTTATTTATGTTTAGGGATTAAACTTTAAAGCCCTATAGACTATCGTTACATACGTAGTTACTTAAACAAAAATATCCTATCCACCTAAGCCATCCACTTTGTTGTAGCTCAATCTTTCATAATAATACTAATAAAATGAACAGATCTGTAGTAGATATTTATCAGATCTACTGAATGTGCATATAAAATGTCATAAAAATCGGTCAAGCCTTTTCGGAATTGTATCGTATCTAACATTTTGATATAAGACTTTAAATCTATACTAATATTATAAAGCGGAAGAGTTTCTTTAGATGCGCTAATCTCAGGAACTACTGGTCCGATTTGAAAAATTATTTTTTTGTTGGATACTCCATTTATAGAGGAAGGCTTTAGGCTATATAACATTACGCTGCGATCAATAGGAGCGAAGAAAGATGCTATCAAAAGATAATCGCGATAGTGTTTCCGCGCGACCACGCGAACGAAGTCGCGGGCACAGTTAGTACATGATCATTTAGAAGAGAAATGATAGAATTATTCACGGAAAAATTTTGAGGTTAAATACGAATTGTACGACACATGTTAAAATCGATCAATCTGTTTACGCGCAGATGACAATGGAGCGTATATATGTTATAACTAAGTATCCTGCGTGTGAAAACATCCTTTCAACCGGGCAAAAATTATAAATAAGCTTACGGTCATAATTGGCCATTAATCTGTTCGATAAGTTACTATTATTTTTAGTCCGAACCGTTTAATCGATCTCGAATCAATTTCACTTGCCCGAAGTAATATTAATATTCATAATAGCTATTGAAAACCTCCATATTACCTAAAACTAAAAGATCGACTATCTTTCATATTAAGTAATCTTCGAATCGATCGTTTAAATTGATTATTATGTTCAGCTGTTAATCGTTTATACGGATAACATAACATTAGGAATAGATAAATTAAAAACTCTTCCAAGGTCACGGTGTCAGTGGAGCTAAAATGTGATTTGGTCGGATGCGGTCATCATCCGAGGTCGTCTGAGAAATCGCACTGTTTTCAAGAAGTTAAACAACAAATACTATTTTATTTGCAAAGTTTCGCGAATCGGTAACTTGAAATACTCATCTCTAACAGAACTTTAAATAGTAAGTGACTAAGCTTTCCCCTAATTGCGCGTGTATGGCTAGAAAACAAGGCTAGAGTTAAAGTACTACGACAGTTTATGTATTTAAACATATTGTAACACATTTTTTACCCCCCACGTGGTAGTAATTTTGGGAACAAACACACCCAGGGAGAGTTAGCTAGGAATGTTGGCGAATAGTAATTTAAATACCGCACTCAGAATTGTTCAAGGAGTCCCTTATATGTATTTAGAGTAAGATACAAATCTACACTAATCGACTGTTTACGTAACCCTTAACCGTATCTGATTGCGGCAGTAAGTATTGTTGTGTTGCAGGAGAGCTGGTGGTAGGCGCAGCGCACATCGCAGTGTTACTGACGCCGCTCAGCGAGCGCGATGGCGGCCGCCTCGGCTCACTCTTCGTCACCAACTACAAGCTATCCTTCGTGCCCATAGAGACCTCGCACTACGATGTTAGTGTGCAGAAACTACTATTCTTTTAGCCGAGAATCGTAGATAAACATTAGCAACATACTGTAGAGCCAAAATAATAACTTAAGAAAGTAAAAAGAAACATAATCTTGGTTGATCTCCCGCAATTTTTTTTATCATGAAATGAACTGATAAAAGTCAGTGTGCCTATTGCGTTTTAACATTTATAAGTTGTTGGTATATGCAGTAATCTACCTTTTTTTCGCTTTTATCCCAGGAGTATGGTCAGAAGAATCATCTGTTAGGGACATTTGACGTGCCGCTGACGGGTGTGGGCGCGCTGTGGTTGACGGACGGCGGGCCGCAGCGCCGGCGACGTCTGCTGCCCTACGCCGATATGCCCGGCAAGGTCAAAGGCCTTCAAGTCATATGCAAGGTACTGCCCTAATTCTCTTTTAAATTTTTTTTAGAAAATTGAAGTTCAAGTGGTATTAAATATTTCCATTCTTGTTTTCAGAACATGAAAGTGATGACGTTCAGTTTCGCCAACTCACCGATTGGCAACGGACGCAAGGTGGCGATGGCATTAGTGCACCACGCGTTTCCCAAACGCCATGACCTGCTATTCGCGTTTGAATACCGCGAGCCTTACTACCCCACCCTCCCCCCGGACCTCAACATGTTCCAGCGCCCCGGCGACTGGAAGCGGGAACTGGAACGCTGTGAATGTCCCCACTGGAGGATCACTTGTATCAATG